CGAAAACCCCACAGGTCAAGGCAGACCTACAAACTCCTTTTTGGCTCTTACAAACAGCACTAAGGGGGGGGGTGTGCAGGCAGGAGAACAGGCAGCAGCAGTTCCGAGCGGGGTGGGCAGCCCTTACCCAGGTGGTGGTCTTGGTGTTGTGGTCGATGAAGAAGGGGCGGCCGTTGGGGGCGATGCGCATCTCCCAGCCCGGGGGCAGGAAGCTCTGGGCCCCCTTGTGCTGGGGCTTGGGCGAGTTGTAGGGGGACGGCTGCGGGCTCTGGGGGTTGGAGAGGGTGTCCTTCACCGCCCGGCGCACCGGCGAGTCCTTCATGCCCTGCGGAGCAGCCAAACACCAAAACTCACCAAAACTCACCGAAACCGACCCGGGGAGATCGGAAGGACTGGCTCTCCCCTCAGTGTGGCTGAGTCTTAACAAAAGCAATCCAACACCCTTTGGGAAGGCAACAAGGGCTGCAGGGGTGTCCTCACCTCCAGCGGGGCCGACAGGGTGACGGTGGGGGAGCTGAGGCTGCGGGGCCGCCGGATCTGCGGCTCGCTCAGGTGGTTGCTGCTGCTGCTGCCGCTGCTGCCCGGGGCCACCAGCCCGTCCTCGGCGAGCTGAGGGGGGCAGAGCCAAGTCACAAAGGGCACAAACACTGCCAGGGCACTTTAAAAACCGTGGCACTGCTTATTAGCATCACGATGATCGTTCTTAAACATAATTTCCTAAAGATAAGGATTTAATGTAATTTAATTTAATACGTGGTCCTGCTCTATTAATGGAGCGGGTTAACTTTCAAATTGAACCCTAAGAACACATCTGCCTCCTTTTAGGAGTTCCCTCCACCCCTCTCTGGTTGACCTGGGCCATAACACAGCCCAAAGCAAAACCATCTCGACCACGGCAATTTTTTTACGATTCACCCGAGTCGGCGCGACGACACTCAGGATTTTTCCCCTTTAAATTCCAGAGGGAAAATTCCGTTTTAACTGAAGTTAACCCCCAGCTGGAGGGTTTGCCCTGTACCTGCACGATGGGCCGTGTCCACGTCGTGGTGCGGTTGTTGTGGTTGACGTAGTAGGTCCGGCCCTTGGCGTCCTTGCGCTCCTCCCAGCCCGAGGGCAGCCCGGGGGTGGTGTGCACGTAGGCCACCGAGGGCTGCTGGGGCAAGAAACCACTCTGTCCTTATTCTACATCCTCTGCCCACTCACATCATGATTTTATAACAGCTCAAAACATCTCAAAGTCCTGCATCTTCCAACAAAGCAACTTGTTAACTCACATAAGCACAACCACCATTTCTGATCTCATTAAATACAAGCTCTTGGGGGCAGATTATTTTTCTTCTCCCAAGAGACCCCTTTGGATCAGCCTGGCCCAGATTCAGGTACCTCGCTCAGCAAACAGCCCTCCAACTTTTTAACTCTGGGCTTTAATGAGTTTGGCTCAGAAAGGTGGATTTTTATTATTTTTTTTTTTGTCCCTTTTATCAGTTTGGATAAGTAAGAGTCAAATAACCCTGCAGTCAAGAGACTGGAAAATTAAGGAATGAGGAAATTAAGCACAAGCTCTGAGAGGGATTTCTTTCTTTCCTAAAGATCCGAGGGCTCTTTTCCCACCCAGGAGCAACAGAGAGAACAAGCAGAGAGGAGCAACAGCAGTAACAAACTTATTGCTATACTATATATACTCAATATTTCAGCAAATATTAGGCCCAGATTTGCTACTTGCAGATTCACATTTCTGATACAGAACTGGAGGAAAAAAAAAACCCTGAGAAAAGTAGAATTTTTTAAATATTCTTTTGCAGTCAGACCAGTTTTATTCACAGTTTTATTCACCCCTCGTTTGGGAAGGGAGCTCTGGGCTTACCAGGGCTAACTGGGACTGCTCGGCCACCGCGTCCGTGACGCTGCACGACCTCAGCCTGGAAGAGGGTTCTCTTTGCTGGCAGAGAAACAAAAGAAAGGTGTCTTGAAGCCAACAAGAACTCCCTGTGCTGCTGCTGAGAGGAAGAGCGGCCCCCTACGTACAATCAAAGAGCCGAGTTGCTCCCCGTTGGCCTCGGGAGTGACCTGGAGCCTCCTGCTCAGCTCCTCCGACAGCTCCTGGGGGCTGGTGCGGGACACCGGCGACGCGGGAGGGGGTGGCAGTGCCAAGCTCAAGGAATCCCCACTGGCACTCGCCTCCTCGGAGATGGTTTCCCAGGGCTAACAGAACAGAATAAATGAAGTTAAGGGTTTACACAGAGCTTTTTGTGTCGTAGCAGTCTGAGGCTCAGCGCCCACCTCAGGGACGTCCCCGCTCTCCGCGGGCTCCGGCTCCAGGTCCTCGCTGATGTGGCGCCGCGAGCGGAACCGCCGGTGAGCGGCCTCCTGGTTGATCTGCCGGATGTTGTTCTCGGAGTCCGACCCCACGTCGCTGCAGGAGGGGGGGGGAGAACGAGAAAAGAACACGAAAATAACCCCAATTAAACCAAACCCCGACTTCGTCCGCCGCCTTCGAAACCTTGGGAACGCTTCTGATCATAAAACTCGTTATTCGTGCACGTGTCAGGCTGGACAGAAAGTGGCCAGGGCTGGAGAATCCAGCACTCCCTTGGCCATGGTTTAGAGGTCAGTTCTTCCTAAAGCCAGTCCTGACAGCTTGCAGAGCTGTTAGCACACCCGGGGAATGCAGCCTGGGCACTGAGGAACAACCAGGATCTCCTCCAAGCCCATCCGTTCGACCTCATCAAAACTTAACGGAGTTGACTTTCTACAGAACAAAGTCATTTATTCCCGTTCAATTCCTGAAACATTCCACCTCTGTCTCCCCATATTCTGACTTCCCTCCCACCCCCCTTCAGCTTTCCTGGCACTCCCCAGGACATCCCTGTCTCTCTGGGGCTGGGGAAGCCTCTGGAGCCTAAGAATTTTTGCCTGCAGGCCCCCAGGGGTTCTCTCTGCCGCTCACATGAGGCTGGGCCGGTGCCACTGGGTGGTCCTGTTGTTGTGGTTGACGTAGTAGGTCCTGCCCAGGTTGTCCACCTTCTCTTCCCAGCCCGGGGGCAGCGGAGGGGGGGGCAGCTCCTCCTGCCGCTGGGACGCGGAGTCGCCGGGATCGACCACGTCCCAGCCGTGCTGAGGGGTGAAGGGAGACAAAAAACCTCCTTTCACCGGGAGAACCCAACTCAAAGCCATCAAGGAGGGTGGCTGGGCGCCAAAGGGAACCAACCCTCCAAGGTCCAGCTGCTCCCACAGTTGTCCTTGAACCTCCGGAGCGTTCAGCCTTACCTCGGAGTCGTCCCTCGGGTCGCTGTTCTCCTCCTCCTGGCCCCCGTTTTTGGGCATGTAGGCCATCTTCAGCCGCAGGAAACCCTTCACGCGAGACTTGTGGCTGCGAGACGAGGAGCCGCGTTCAACATCTCATTTAACATCTCATTTACCACCTCGTTTAACCACCCCCAAATTAAAAATCCAGCAGGATTTCTCCCTCTAAAGCACACGAGGCCTTGATGACCGCGGAGGACTCTTCCAACCCAATCGATTCTACGATTTTTCCCCCCTCACCTTCTGGGCCTGAGGAGGAAATCCTTAAATGTGTAGGGTCTTTCCATGGTCGGGTCTTCGGTCTGGGAGCGGGGGAGAAAACGGCAAATTGAAGGCTTTGCTCACGAGCGCAGCCACAGAAAGATTCCATCGCTGACTGCCATCGAACCCTAAATCTGGGATCTTGGAAACTTCCTATTCCACAAGAATTTCAGCTTTCTGATCACTTCGGCAAGGTCCCAGAGGTTGAGATCAACAGGGACATCGTTAAAAATGCTAATTACACCCAGCCTCTGTCAGTCACCCAAACCAGAATATAATAGCAGAAATGTCTGCACCGAGGCTAAAACAATCCCTGCATATATATATATATATATATATATATATAAATATATACATACATATATATATATATAAATATATACATATATAAAAATATATATAAATATATATATATACATATAAATATATATAAATATATACATATAGATATATATAAATATATACATATAGATATATATAAATTTATACATATAAATATATACATATAAATATATACAAGTATATACATATAAATATATATATAAATTTATACATATAAATATATACAAGTATATATATAAAAGTATATACATATAAATATATATAAATATATACATATAAATATATATAACTATATACATATAAATATATACAAGTATATACATATAAATATATACATATAAATATATATAAATTTATACATATAAATATATACAAGTATATACATATAAATATATACAAGTACATACATATAAGTATATATAACTATATACATATAAATGTATGCATATAAATATATACATATAAATATATATATAAATATATGCATATAAATATATACAAGTATATACATATAAATATATACAAGTATATACATATAAATCTATACAAGTATATACATATAAATCTATATAAATATATACATATAAATCTATATAAAAATTTATACATATAAATATATATACATATACATATAAATATATATATAAATATATACATTTAATATATATATATATATATATATAAATATACATATTTACTTCTACTTATACGCCTCTAGAAATAGAAATTGCCCTTAATTTTGCAATTGTGTGGTCCCTGCAGGATCCTGGCTGCTGGAAGGAACCCAGGCAAGTGGGGCTTCAGGGAATTACAGATCCCCCAGATCTCTCCATTTATCAAGAAACAGGAACAAACAACAATCTGACCGCTGACAACAAAATGATTCCATTATTTTAATTGCTCCCTGCTAGAATTCTCACTGCTAAAATAATGAAATCTGCCAAAATGAAGCTTTTTCCCCCAAAAAAAACAAGCTGTTCCTCTGCTTACCGGGAGGTGGCTGAGCGGCACATCCACCTGGCCCAGGAAGTCGTCTCTGGTCTGGCCCCAGGAGAGAGAAAAAAAGGCAGGAAAAGGAGTAAATTTACATCAGAAAAGCAAAATAAAAACCCCCATAAACAGCAAAAAAACCCTGAGGAGGTTTGTTCAGCAAACAATGGCTCCCACCCCTTTATGTTGTTGTAACTCATCTCTGAGACGCTCAGTGCTGGTGATTCCCAAATAACCTGCTCCCTATTTATGGCCAGGGAATTCCAGGAAGCGCGGGCGGCCAAGTTTACATATTTCCCATAGCAGAGCGTCAAGTTTAACATTAAAAATTCAGATTTTACGGGGTAGCGTCGCACCAAAAGTGCTCCCATCGATTCAGTTTTGAACTTGATTTACAGGAAGTTGAAATTAAACCTGGGTTTCACTTTAGAAGAAAAGGAAGAGGGAAAATTCAAGTCCCCAGAATTCACAAAAGGAACTGAAAAATCTCACTTGGCAAGACCTGCATTCGAAGGGCGCTCCTGTGGCAATGCCTGAAATCGTTCTTTTCCCAGTTTTGGGTGACAAAACCTCAACTCCTGCTCATTGCACCTGTTCTTTAAAAGGTGGCATTTTTAATTGCTGCCCCAAGCCCTGCCAAAACCGAGCCATAAATCCAAATAAAAGTCCCTTTCCTGGCACACGGGGACAACCACAACCGGATCCTTTCTTAAAGGGATTAAGCAATTAAACAGCAATTAATTCCAATCCTAAATTACTTCTCTTGCACTGCCAAAGCTTCTGCCCCTTGTCCTGTGAGAAAGGAAGGAATTGTCGCCAAAAAAACCCTCTCGAAACAAAAATGCAATAATCTTGAATCCAATGCATCAGTTCATGTCCTAAAGCAGAAAAATAGGATTTTTATGCTGAAGGGGTCGCTGAAACCAAGAAAAAGGGGGAGTGGAAGGCAAGGGCTAAGAAAGTATCCACCCCCTCCAGAAAATAATGCATTATTATATTATTATTATAATAATATAATAATGCATTATTATATTATTATTCTGGGATTCTGACAAAGAGTAAATATTTTTCCTCATGTAATTATCAGGGGCTAATTACTAATTTTGGAGAAGGACTCCAGCCAAGAGCTCTGCCTTTGTTACCAGCTCCGGGGGATAAAAATGACCCCCAGAGGAAGGTTCCCTGCCCCTCATCTGAGCTTGCCCTTGTTGCTTTGTGCCTCTGGTGTCTCTGGAGCGTGGCTAATTCGGGATTTGCACCATTTCTGAGGAAGCAGAGAAGAGCTGAGCCGGGAGAAACGCAGGCTTCCAGAGCCAGAGGTGCCGTTCCTGCTCGGGAGCTGAATTATAATTCCCTCCCGCTCCCGCACCGTTTTCTTAGGGCACACGTTGTGCTCTGCTCCCAACAAAGCTGCCTTTGTCAGCCCTCCCCACCAGTTGTCCAACGTGGCATTTCTCAAGTGTTTCCCAGTTTCCCACCGGCCCCCAGCGACAACCAGGCCAAGAGACCCGCAAATCCAACGTTTCACAATCAGACGCAATAGTTTTACTCAATATTTTCACCCTGGCTGCTAATGAAACACATCCTGCCTTTCCCTCTCCCAGAGCAGCCCTTTGGAAGGTGCCGGGCCCCGGGAGCAGCAGGACTGGGATGTTTGCTGCGGGATAAATCCAAATCCGGCCGCAGCAGCTGCTGCTCACAGCCCCCCCCCCACACAAACCCCCTGCACCACCACAATTAGGGGCTTTTTTTTTGCTGCAAACAACTTCTCCCCTGGGCTGGAGAGAGCAGGTATTTCAGGCACGGCCCAAGCAGCAGCACAGATCCTCCAGACTCACTTCTGCGGGTGGTTCTCCGCGAGCAGCTGATTTTGGCTGCCAGGAAAGACACGGCACGCTCCTGAACCAGAACTGCTCCCTCACCAAACCTGCACCGCTCTGCTTTAGTTTACGGGGGTTTGATTTCGCTCTTTGGAAAGCAAAGCTGAGGGACCCTCCGTGGTTTTCCCCTCACAGCGCCCACCCAAGAGCTCAAAAGAAGGTCACGGGAGCTGCAGAGTCATCCCTGGCCCTGCTGCAGGAGCAGCTGCCTCTGGGCTGGGTTTCAACAACCAAGCCACCCGGACTTGGGGCACACAAAACCAGGACGAGCCGGTTTCGTTTCCAGAAGGAGAAAAATCAAATGACTGCCGCAGAGACTAATTTTTCACCCAGCTCCCTGTCAGTATTTCAGCTGGAATTCTCCTCAGATTCCCGTGGTCTTGGCTGCTGTTGCGCTACAATCCGTGTTTGAAAAGCGTGGGGAGGTACACGCGTGCACACACGACGCTCGGAAGGGTGCCAAAAGATTTGTTTTTCAAACCAGGGCGCGCGAGGGCCTCGGCCAACTCAACACAAACACACAATTTGCCGTTTGATTTTTAACAATCTTTCCGGCTGACGTAACGCTGAGCCGAGAAACGTGTGACGGCGGGACCCGAAAATACCGCGCTGGATGGAACCACGGCTGAGAGCAAAGTTGTGTTAGATCAGAAACAGAGACCATTCGGGGCTCGGTCCTGACAAAGGCAGAACGTTCCAGCACAGGCTCTGCCGGGCACGGCACACCCGGGACTTACCGCGGCGCCGGGACCGTCCGTGCCGACCCCCTGACTCTGCTCGTCGGGCCCGCGGGTGACAAGGATCCTGAAGTGCTGCTGCCTCGTCTTTTGCTCCGGTCTGATTTTAAACAAGCAGCCCTGCCCTTGAGGAATCCGCTCGACCGAGTCGCTCCCCGATACTTCTGACCTGCTCCTGCCGTTCCCAGGCGGCTCCGAGCCCGGCCCGTCGGCCGGGGGGCCGATTCCTTCTGCCGGCGGCTGGACGGGGTAGGAAGTGCTCCTTTCCAGCCGTATCCGAGGGTACCTGACCAATCTGTCCCCCTTTGTCCCGGTAAACCCGAAGTTCCCTCCGCCCCCGGCGCCTGCTCCGCTCGCCTGCGGCTGCTGTAACTGGAGGACAAAGAACTTTTTCCCCGAACTCGCCGACGGATCCGGCACGTGCTGCAAGGACCAGCGCCGGGGTTCGGGGGGGGCGGCGTTACCCGGAGCCTCCGAACCCAAGGGAAGCAGAGTCACTTGAGGCACATCTGCGCTGGAAGCCCGATGCTGGATCCTCACCCCGCTGATGTTCAGACCCGACGGCGCCTCGTTCGCCTCCTCTCGCCGGGCGGCGGCCGGAGCCTCCTTGCTCTGGCTGTTGGAGGGGACGGCACAAAACACCCGGCGATTGCAGCAAACGGTTCCATTTGCCCGCTGCCCCGACCCGGGGGCAGAGCTGTGGGGGCTGCCCGGGGCGGCGGGGCGGTTCTCCGGAGGGGCGGCGCAGCAGCGCTCCCCGAGGGCCGAGGGCTGGCAGGGCCCGGCCTCCTCGCCCTCGCCGTCGGCGCCTTTGCGCTGCAGCGAGATCTGCACGGAGGAGCTGCGCGTGGGCCGCGCCTCGGCGCCGGCCAGCAGCTGCGGGATGAACATGGACGTGCTCCTCTTCAGGTCGCCGGCCGCGCCGCGCCGGGAGCAGGCGTGAGGGCCGCTCCGCCTCGGCAGCGTGTGGAACGCCAGGAAAAAGTCGTCTTCCCGCTCCCGCTCCAGGATCTCCGACTCGGGGGCCGTGTGGCTTCGCCCGGAGCCAAAATGAAACCGCAGCCGGTGGGCCATGGTTCGACACGGAGAGCGGAGAGGGAGAACGGCCAGGAGTCAAAAACCAGAGGCATCGGCTCGGGGGAAAAGCGTCCCATCTGCCAACCGGTTAGCACTGCAGCCCTGGCAGCGACAGATAGCAGAAATAGCCCAAGTGGCAAGCGGCATTCCAGGCATGATTGGGCAGGAGCAGGCAGCGCTCCGACACACGGTGACATAGGGTAGGATGGCGCCGGTCACGTGGCCCGGTTCCCCCTCTCCAGTGTGTGGGGGGGTTTGTTTTTTCCTTTTCTTTTTTTTTTTTAATGCCAGCAAGAGCCTGAAATGGCACCTTCCCAGCTGCTCCTTTTCCATCAGCGTGCTCGGCGCGGCTGTAAATCGAAACCGCGTCCGCGGGGCGCAAAAGCTTCGCCGCGAGGAAAACGCTCCCCTTTTGGGCTAAAAGTTTCAGGGAGCTCCTTTCCACAGTCCCATTTTGGGGCCTTCCAGCCCCAGGCTGCCGTGGCAGAGCGGGAATAAATATAGCACAGTTATGCTTTCAATTTTCACCGTGCTCCCAACGCCGACTCCTCGCCTTCAGAAAGCTCCGACTCGCACGCCGTCCCCACGAGCTCGGGGTAACCTGCACTCCCCCTCTGAGCAGGACACCAAGCTCCTTTCCCAGTTTTTTTTGTTTGCTCTCCGAAGCCAGAAAAACGAGCAATCCCCAGGGAAATGGAGCCAGAGGGTGCTTTGGTCACTCGGGAACGACGAGGAGGAGCCAAGTCCTCGCAACAAAAACCATTCGGGTATCGGCAATAAATATTGCAAAGCAAAGCCAAAATAAGCAGTTCGGTGTCTTCTCACCCTGTGAATTCCTGATCTCTCAAAGATACGGCGCCACAGAGCCCAAAGAGCCACCCAGCCACCCTCTGCTGCATTTCCATCAGCAAAACCCCCCAGCCAAGCACTCACCAGCCTGTTCTCGTCAAACACCTCGAACAGGAGCCGATGGTTGGTCGGGTTCACCTGCAAGAAAATTGGCTGCTATTAAACAACAAAAAAAAGCTCTGGGGAAAAGATTTTGTGCAGCCAAGTCCCAAAGTTTTTAAGTCAGCATGTGAATAACAGATTTAAAATAAGATTAACTGTGCCTGTCCTAGTAATGACTGCGAGTAAAGAGAGACTTACTCGAAAATAAAATTCCTCGTTCCATTTGGGGTTCAGGGTCTGGAAAAGAAATAATATTTACACACTAAAGTTTCTTTAGCTTTGCCAGTTTGCAATCATCAAAACATGCAGCAAGTGATGTTTTTCTAGGGGAAAAAAAAAAAGGATAAAAAAAAATGTAATAAAAATAATTTGAAACAATATTGTCATCAAATTATCCAGAAATTCTCTGCTGAGTAAACCAAACGGGGGAGGATATTTGAGTCAGATGATCCTAAAATAGACGTTCAGCATAAATAGGATTCAATGAGCAAAAGGCAAATCACTGAGAACCTGCAGAAATACAACCTGGAGACGTTTCATTCTCCAGATTCACTTAAACCCAGATGAAAAGAAAAAAAAAAAGAAGTATTTTTTAAACACAAGAGTGTTCTTAATGTCTCCAAAGCAGTGGAATTAAGCAGAGTATGCACGTACCTTTTTGATGGTTTTTGTCTGCACGAGAGCCAGTTCTCTGTTCTCATCTGCTACGTACAGGGAGAGTTTCACGTAGGGGTCACTGCAAAAGAGAACAGCAGATTTCATGGCCTGGGATTGGGCAGCCCAGGACAATTTCAGAGGGGATTTGCCATCAAATTTGCCAGGGAGAAGTGTCTTCAGTGAAATGTAGAAAGCCACTTTCCCTTGAAACAGCCCCTAAGGAAAACCCAGTGAAATACAGCACCTGGCCTGTTAAAAATCCCAATAAATCTGACCTACCCCGATATGATCCATCAGAACCTGAAGAGAACATCCAAACAGCTCTTGCCAGTGACCTGATGCATTATTCACTTCTTTTAAGCTCCCAAAGAAGGGGGAGGAGAACAATCAAACCAACGGAGGCCTACGTGGCTCTATTTTTGCTCGAAAAGCTGAAACCGCCTCCCCCAAGCACCAAATTTTAGGCTCCCTGTTATGCAAGGGGGTGTGCCCAGATTTGTGAACTTGAAAATGGCACAGCCAGAGGCAGCTCTGGGCATGCACTTGACAGAGCTTAAAAAGCTTTAATTTTAAAAAAAAAATTAAAAAAAATCCCAGTGTTTTGCTTGGTCCCCCTCATATTCAAACAGAGGAGGGACACAAAGCCCAAAACATGCATCATTAAAGGAGATTTAGAATAATATGAGCTACTTCTTGAGAAGTTTTACCCAGAGTAGTAAAAGCAATGTCCCAAGGCAGAATCTCTTGGGATCACTGTCATTTTATCCCAGGGACTTTCCCCACTCCAGCAATGAACTCCAGGGAATGCTCAGAGTGTACCAGCTGCTGTTTGCTTTCATTTTAGCTTCTGGGGTTCATCCTCCTGCCTGTCCCAAGTGACATCCACGAGTTTCTCCCAAAGAGAGGAGGATTTTGACCCTGCTGTCGCACCAGTGAAGCACCAAGTGACCAACAGCCCAAGAACGAAGGAGCAGCAGCTTCCAAAAAGAAAACAGAGCCTTACCTTGTCCTTCACTTGCAAGCTGCTGGGCCTGAGCATCCCAAAATCTCCCCTCTCTCCCAGGCCTCTCCTTCCCCTCCTAGTGCTTGATTTCCTGCAGAGAGGCTCCCACCTCACCCAGCTCCACCAGAAATGCTTTACCCCGAGAGCTGCTAAGAGAGAATGACTCACAGCACAGGCAGCTGAGGAGAAGTGCCTGGGGGGGAAAAAGGGAGCGAAAAATTACAGCTCAAACTCCACCTCCAGTGTCTCCTCCTAATAAAGAGTAACGAGACCAATTCCTTTACAACTCTCGCTCTCTTGGAAATCTCCTCGAATGGAAAGCAAAGATCTGTTCTAAAGAGAAAAGGAAGTATCTTTTCATCTTATAAAACAGATGGAAGAGTAAATATGCTTTTTTTTTTTCCTCCCCGAGGCCATTTTGGTGGCAAAGGTGAAGGAATTCTGGGCAGCATCCCTTCCCATGGATGCCACAGCCAGGGACTCTGCTCTTCCCCAGCCCCAGGCACCTGGAAGGACCCAAAAGAAAAAGGCAGAAAGCAAAGGGAATCTGTAATTAGTCCCTGGAATTCACTGCAGTTAAGGAATTAGCCGGGTTCAAAAGGGACAAATATGAGTAATGAGCTAATTACATCAAAACCTTGTGAATCACTCCCTGAGGGGAAACCCAAACCTGGAGAAGCATTTCAGGGTCTTGCCACCACAGGCTCCAGGAGCTGGTGGAGACCACGGGGAGGGTCAGACTTCAGCAGCCTCTGCTTAAAAGATCCTGAACTCAGACCAAAAACTCACAAGGCAAATGCCCAACCTATGATGCTTAGATTTGAAGGAAAGCAGCAGAAGCAAAACCAAAGCAAATTCTTCCCTGTTTCAGAGATGACAGGAAATTTGCTGTGAGTCATCACCTCAGACTGAGTTCTTGGTTACAAAGAGGGGGATTTGTCATCAGAACACGCTCAGCAAAATGGGTTTAAGCAAAGCTGGTGAGCACAGGGGTCAGTGGCTGCCTGTCAGAGCTGTGTCTGTAACAGGAGGCAGCTGCTTCCAGCTCAGACCCGAATTCCTGAAGAGAACAGCTCCAGGAACACCACTCAAACCTGGCTGAGAGGGGGAGTTCAGCTTTGTTCTGCTGTGCTGTTACTCACTGCCTGAGACGAACCCCACGCTTTCCACTGCTCCTTCTGGAAAAAAAAGGTAGCAGGGACCTGAATTTTTGACCCCCTGGGACATGGGCAGAGGGAGCCAGGTGGATGCTTCTCCTTCTCTCAGCTACTACCCACAGGCACGAAATAATAAATTGCCTGCCACTAAATTCAGGCAAATCAATACATTCTTTCCTTTAATTATTGACAAAACAGAGCTCCCGAGTCAGGACAGGCTGGGATACAAAGGCAAAGCTGCAGGAGGAGCAGTCTGGGGGCACACAAGGCCCCCTCCCTCCCAGCACCTTCCCCACCCCTTGGCTTTGCTGCTGGCCCAGCTGTCCCCTCCTGGGGCTCAGCCCGGGGCTCCTCCACACCTGCCACGGCTGCCCGGGGCTGCCAGAGCTGGGATTAGTCCCAGGACGTGTTTCCACGCCTTGTTGTCACTCAAGGGGACGCTCAAACCTCAGCACTGTGTTGGTTTTGCCTGCACAAATCACCGGTTCCATTTCTGTTAAAGAATAAAAAGGTTGCTGGGGTGGTTTTAAATGTGAAAAGGTTCCATGTGCTGGACAACGCACATAAAAAGTAGAAGCTGCCCATCATTTTAATCCAATGACAGCAAAAGGCAGAAATATTTCATCCCAAAAGGTTTTTCTTAGAAGATTTTATGGACATGCCCCCTTTTTCTCTTAAAGAGAGCTCCCAGAGCACAGCAGACAGCAGGGAAAGCTGAGGGGCTGAACACAGGCACTCCTTTTGTTCAGCATTTGACATTCCTGCATCCCCACAAAGGAACTCTTCTGTTGAGCAATTACCTGATGACTCTTATTTTGCACTATGACATTACAACCTTCAGGAATTATTCTTACTCAGGAGCAAGACCATACCCTCCAAAAAGCAGCATTTCTGCACTCACAGCTCCTGAAATATATACTCACGGAATATATACATGGAAATGGGTCAAACCCTGTGCATTTTGGTGAAGGACCTGGAAGCCCGATTTCCTGGGAAGCCGTGGAAATCCTCTGGTGCCCTCTGCTGCCAGGCAGCAGCAAGGAAGCCCCCGGGCTCACCCACCCCCCCTCCCCGGCCACACACTTGGCACCAGTCCCTTCTGGCTGTCCCTTCCAGGGCTTTCCTCACGTAGAGAGAGAGCCCCAAGTGTTCTCCACGGCTGGCTCGTGCCCCTCCCGGGACAGCCCGTTCCACACGCCGGGCTGGCACGAAGCCACCAGCTCTGCCCGCCTGGGGGCCGTCCCCTCCTTCCCAGGCGGGCACTGGATGCAGCGACTGAGCCTCTCGGGAAGCTCCCAATCCTTCCCCACGCTCTGGAAGCAGGAAAAGCCCCAAGAGAGGATGAACTCTCTCCCACTTGAGCAGCTGCCACGGGGTCGAGCGGCCCCGGGAAGTCGGTCAGTGCCCGGCTCTGCAGTGCCCGGCACAGCTCTCCCCCTGGCACACGTGCCAGCCTGCACTGCTGCAAGCACTCAAGAGCCACCTCCTTAGGAGCCAGAGGATTTTTTTGAAGTGGTTTGAATAATTTATGAAAAAAACTCCTTTCAGAGGATTTGTCTTGCTCGATGTTGGTACAAGAAGGGGAACGGGCTGTCATCCAAACCTGGTGCCAAGGTGGGAGGGAGAGTTCCAGGGGCACAGCTGGCACCACAATGTAGCCAGCAGTTAAAACAAGAACTCAAAGTGGACTAGAAATAGTGCCAGTGGACTTAAAAGAACAGCCACAAGGTAAACATCTGCCACCTTCGTCACCTGCTCTCTCTTCCCATCACAACCACGGTGACGAGGACACGGGAATTCAAGAATTCAGTTTTAACTGAAAAGCACTTTACCTTTCCAACTTCCAGACAGCTACAATTCCCACTTCATCAGTCAGGAGGCAAAAAGCAGCAACTAAGGCACCCCATCAGTCTCCTCAGATCTCCTTAGCTGCTATCAAAATTATTTCATGAGTCAAAAAGAACCCCAAAAAAGCAAACTCCAAACAGGCCATTACAAAGGTCATGAGCTTGTCCTCAGTATTTGATGTAATTTTTGAAAAGGGACAAAAAGATTGAAGGGCCTCAGTCCAAATTTCACTTGGATTTAACTTCGT